CTGTTAAAGTAAAGTTTGACCAATCGTGACACAAAACATAAGACTACAGTGAAGTAATCCATGACTGTAGTCCAGTATCAAGACACCCGTGTCTTTATTGTCCTCCCTTCAGTGATGATACGATGACGAGACAGATCAGGACTCAGTCTGGTTCTGGTTGGAACTGGTTCAGGTCCACGTTCTGTGGTTCTGCCTCAGTTCCTCAGAGCAGCGAGTCTTCCTCGTGAAGACACAGAGGCATTTGTCTGAGAAGGGTCAAAGCTCCACGAGTATTTTAACACTTCCTAGTAATATTCTTTCTGGAGTGTAGGAGCCATTTAACGTCTTCATCCACAGTGTTGATGGTGTTTGACTGTGTCCCCCTCTCCGTAGCTCTATGCTGAGAAAGTCGCCACCCGTGGTCTGTGCGCCATCGCTCAGGCGGAGTCTCTGCGCTACAAGCTGCTCGGAGGCCTGGCTGTTCGTAGGTAAGCCGCGCCGCTCTGGAACAGTCACCGACGTGTTTTAATCATCAGTGTCGTCTGCTCTGGATTTATTTTGTACCTTTTCTGCATCGATCAGTTTGAGAGAAGTTGCATCATAGCACATTTTGTATCTTCAAGTAACCCAGGACGTTTACCTGGACTCACCTTATTGTATCTTACAGTTCTTTAATAACAAAGAAAAGCACTGAACCGTGAACGTATAAAATCAAAAGTGATGAGTTTTAGAGGCGATCACTGCCTGTAGCTTCTAACATGTCCTTCACAAAAGACATATAAGACTTAAGTTGTATTATAAATGTGTTTTGGGATGAATAACCACATGCATCGTGTTAACAACCATCATTTCTAAGTTTGTTGATGGTGAAATTCAACAGCCCCAAGTTGAAATGTAAATAAACGTGGTTTGATTTTAAAAAGGTGAACAAAACCTGGTTTCAAGCGATAAATTGAGAATGTTCCTGTGATATCAGTAAACAGACGATGACCGTTTAAATTTTATAAGTAGAAAAACCTAAAATACATAAACAACGACAGGAAACGTGCACCAGAGTACGTCACTGTACGAAGTTCAGTCTCTTCAGCAGAAAGCCTGGTTTACTCTCAGGTCCCCTTCAGTGATGATACGATGACGAGTCGGAGCAGGACTCAGTCTGGTTCTGAGGACACTGGTTCAGAGCCACGTTCTGTGGTTCTGCTCTGGTTCCTCAGAGCAGCGAGTTCTTTTCGGGTGAAGACATCGAGGCATTTGTCTGAGAAGGGTAGAAGCAGCACAGACGTGCATCGTTTTAGCCGCTAGTGAAAGTAACCTGGTCAGTCTGCTCGTAACAGGCCCACGAACTGACAAGAGCAGAAACTAAAATAATATGTGTACACGTCTGTAAACACTTCATCACTTGTGTTAATTCTGTATGTTCAGTTTAAAACCAGCGTAAAATGTGATCTCAGTGCTACTTGTGCTTTTCCCTGAAAACCCAGATGCTTAGTAAGACGTTCTGTTATCCGTCTGTTCTTTCAGGGCGTGCTACGGTGTTCTGAGGTTCATCATGGAGAGTGGCGCTAAGGGCTGCGAGGTGGTGGTGTCTGGCAAGCTGAGGGGTCAGAGGGCCAAGTCCATGAAGTTCGTTGACGGCCTGATGATCCACAGCGGAGACCCGGTCAACTACTACGTCGACACAGCCGTCCGCCACGTCCTGCTGAGGCAGGGTGAGTGTCGCTCCGCCGCACGCTGCCGCCAAGTGAAAGATACATCAGGGTTTTTCTGTTGGTGTTCAAATTGACTTGAACTTGTTGCTCGTCCTCAGGTGTGCTGGGCATCAAGGTGAAGATCATGCTGCCCTGGGACCCCAGCGGTAAGATCGGCCCCAAGAAGCCCCTGCCCGACCACGTCAGCATCGTGGAGCCCAAGGAGGAGACCCTGCCCACCACACCCATTTCTGAGCAGAAGGGGGCCAAGCCAGAGGTGCCCGTCATGCCCCAGGGGGGGACACCTGTGCCCACCGCATAAGAGGGTGAGAGACAGCAGCAGCGGTGCTACAGTAACTCAGTGATGGAGGCCGTGCTGGTCAGGTGACAGGTCGTGGATCGTTTGCTCTCTAAATTTGAGGATGTGCGAATAGTTACAGTGCAACAGCATTAAATCAAATCAGGTTCCAGTCTGATCCCTTCGGTGATGAGACGATGACGAGTCGGAACAGAACTCAGTCTGGTTCTGAGGTAACTGGTTCAGAGCCACGTTCTGTGGTTCTGCTCCAGTTCCTCTGAGCAGCGAGTTCTTTTGGTTGAAGACATCGAGGCATTTGTCTGAGAAGGATCAAAGTTTTAGCGGCTTCTGAAAGTCTATATTTTTATAATCTGTCAAGAAACAAATATAGTTTTCTGCTTCAGGAGGATCTGATTGACCTGAGTATTTGAAGCTAGTTATTAATTGAGTGTTTGTGTTTTTTACAGGTTTTCTACCAGATGGAAACAAGACCTGGTGATTTTTGTGTACAAAAACAATAAAATCTGGAAAATACACGTCTGCACGTTGTGGTCACTTTGTTACTGTGTTAAATAAATGTTGAGTTTCTGAATCAAAGACGGTTTGTTAGTTACTCAACTTAAGAAATGTTTAACTGAACTTTGTCTCATCTGTCTCTTACTGTTAAACAGGAAATGTATGTTTGCAGAATTAAAACCTGCAGCAGTTCTGGCAAAACATCTGCTTTCTTATTTTCTGCTGATGAATTGATTCTAAATGTTAATGATTGAAAACTTCAGGCTCATCATCTGATCTGCTCCTGTCCAAACAGAGCTCATTTACATTGTGTTCAACTTGCAAAACAGTGTTTCAACTCCTTTTCTGACTTCGTGATCTGATCCGAGATCAGTTTTCAGAACATGACTGAAGTCACGTGATCCTTAACCCGAGGACAGATGTCTCACTCTGCTGCTGTTTCTGGTGACAGATTCCTTCACCACGTACAGAAAGAAAAGTTAGAGAAAAATTAATATT